TTTCAGCCCAGTAACAAAAGCGCTATTCCCAGCAATCGATGAAAATGTCCTTCATTTTCTTTTCGAAGAAAACCAAAAAATCGAACCAGAATGGTATTTATTTCATTTTTCTTTAGTATTTATTTTGCCTGAATTTTACTGGCTGTCTTTCTAGTCTGGTATGTTGAAGAAATTTCCACTGTTTGTGATTTGAATGACTGCGATTGTTAAGCCTATATTCCTTAAATCCATTATTTAAGGCCAATGCGGGGGGATGGGGAGGATGGGGGTGTCGGGTTGAAAAGTTCATCGATTTTAAAAAATTCATCATCTTTTTCTTTCTCCTCCCTCGTAATTTCTTTCCTTATACTCTGAGAACTTACCTGAAATAGCATCGGACATTTTACGATGTAGTTAGTCTGTATTTCATCTCTTAGCTGTAAACAAGTCTGCTACTGACTCTAATTAAGATTCAAAAAAAAAAAAAAAAAACGAAACCTGTGGATTAAATCGGGCAGAAAGCTTGTTTGACCAGGCAAAAATCTTGGGCAAAAAGCTTGTTTGACCTGTGTTTTAGGTATTGTCCTGTGATCCCCACAGTACTGGTGAATGGTGCCGAAGGTATTGGTACAGCTTGGTCAACGAAAGTACCCTGTTACAATCCACGTGAAATTGTCGATAATATTCGAGCGATGATTAATGGCGAAGAACCGAAACCTCTGGTAAGAGATTTTAGTAAAAACCCAAAATTTAAAAAAAAAATTTTCTTTGGATTTTGAGATTTCACCATCCTCCAAATCGTCCTTGAAATCCTTAGGGGGTTTTAGCAAACATGTAGAATTATGATTGGTTTTCAGGCACCTTGGTATAAAAATTTTCGTGGTACCATCGAGCAGTTGGATGAACAGCGATTTGTTTGTAACGGTGAAATTGCGATCATCGACAATGAAACAATTGAAATCACCGAACTGCCAATTCGTACATGGACACAAACATACAAGGAAACTGTTTTGGTACCAATGCTTGATGGCAATGATAAACAGCCAGCTATTATAACGTAAATTTCGGAATATTTTTCGTGTTAACTTTGAG